CTTTCCCCATCCCCCAGACTCCAGCATGGGTGTTTTTTTTCTTTTTTCCTTTTTCTTTTATAAATTAAAACCGCATCTCCCCACCCCTGCAGGTGGGTTTGTAATTTTCTATACCAGAGTCACTCTGGGGGAGAGAAATCCTTGGGGGCAGAGTCTTTAATAACTTCTGCTGCCCAAGGAATTGGCTGCAAGGCCTGAAGGCTTCAGTGGGGAGCCTGTGTGTGTGCATGTCTGTGGCCAGGGGCCGCAGGGCTGGGGGCTGGGGACTGGGGGCCAGTCACAGAATTAGCAGACATCAACATGAGACTTGGCCTATACCAAGGCAAGTCCCACCGCCCTAGAGCTGTGATGCCTAGGGCTCTGGTCACCTGGGCTGCACACAGTGGAGTCTAATCCCCCAGGGGCTCTCCCCAGCCTCCTGGTTGGGTGTGGACAGAAACAACCAGACACATTGCCTGTGCTGGCTCTGAACCCTCCAGGGCCTCAGTCTCCCCATATATAAAACAAAAGAGTCATGGCCAGGCATAATGGCTCACACCTGTAATCCCAGCACCTTGGGAGGCCAAGGCAAGATGATTGCTTGGGCCCAGTTCAAGACCAGCCTAGGCAACATAGCAAGACCTGGTCTCTACAAAAAAAAACTTTAAAATTAGCCAAGTGTGGAGGTACATAACTGTAGTCCCAACTGTTTGGGAGGCTAAGAAGAGAGGATAACCTGAGCCCAGGAGGTCAAGGCGGTGGTGAGCCATGATTGTGCCACTGGACTCCAGCCTGGGAGACAAAGTGAGACCCTGACTAAAAGAAAAATGGTGAAGTTTCAGTCTCTTTTAATCCCGGCCCTCTGTAGCATGCTTTCTTGAGCTCTCATCAAGTTTTGTTTTGTTTTTTTCCAATTTTTGGAATGTGTAGCATTTAAACAGCAGAAGACTTCACATAAAAATCCAGATTCCCAGCAATTCCAGCCCTCATTCCAGCAGGGAAACCACTGGAAGGGGCCAATGGGTGCTGCCCGGATGCTCCCCTCCGCCCTGTGGCCAGTGTCTGCCATTCTGACTTCCAATTGGCTGCCTCCCTCTCCAGCCCCCGTGAGCAGGAGATTACATCCCCTGCCCATTTCCTTACTCATGGAATGAGCAAGAACCACAGACTTTTGTGTCAACGAAGATGGGCCCAGCTCTCTTGAGACTTTAGCAAGTTATCGTAAAATGGGTATTCCAAGCGAGCACACCTTGTGTAGGGTTGTCAGACGGATTAAGACAATGCACAGAAAGTTCTTGGTGCTGTGCCTGGCACATGCACTCACTCCGTCAGTGTGAGGGCTTAGTAGTGTCCCTGGGCATGACCCTAGCTCAGGTACATATGTAGGAATGCAGTCCGTGTTTGTTAAACAGAGGAAGTAATTTATGGAGACGATGAGACCTGAGGAGTGGATGACCTTGCAGAGTACAGGTTGCAGGAGGCTCACGCCAGTGGGGCCAAGGGAAGAAAAGCCTCATCTCCAAATAACGGATCGAGGTCAGCAAAGGCAACTTTACTCTGGACTTCCAAGCTGCGGCTGCGGTCTCCGGACGTGAGCTTGGCGCCACCTTCTGGCTACTATGTGCCTCACAGCCACACCTCCACCCACACATCAGGGAAGACCCTCCATCTCTGAAACCTGAAGAGTTTGGTCCTCTTCACTATTTTCAGAACTGGCTCCCCTAGAAAGTACAGAGACCCGCCCGTCATCACACATCCAGGGACAACGGAAAAGAACCAGAGACCAACTTTCCTAAGGCCACACAGAAAGCTCCCAGCTGAGCTCCATTTAGAACCAGAACTTGCTAGAGCGGCCAAGAATAACCACCTCTTCCCTTCATCTTCAGGGATGCTAAGAAATACAACACTGCGCAAAAATTCTCGCAGAACCAGGCCGTGAGGACGAATGCAGATCGTTTACTTGGGAGCTGAGCCCAGGAAGCACTAGTGGTGAGACAGCGAGAGGACAGGAAGCAATGCAGAGCGCCCATTGTGGGCCTCCAGGGCTCAATCCTAGGGAGCTTCGGACACGGCTCCTCCCAAGGGCAAGGAAACTGGGGTATGGCCCCTCCCCTTTAAGCCCTGGTTGGCAGATTGTGCTCTAGGAAATAACTCCCCCAATACCCGGAGCTACAGCTTACCGGGCCCACATCTACAGCAAGCACATCCTCAAGACCTAGGAAAGTCCTGAGGCAAGTGAGCCCCAGTGCTGGCAAGAGGAAGCCATTGCTTATACAGTACAGGAGTGTGAATGCCAAGGGCAGGGGTGTTCCGATGTGATCCCTGGACCAGCTGCACCCGTACCACCTGGGGAGCTTGTCAGACGTGCAGGTTCTTAACCTCCATCCCACACCTAATCAGAGACACCTGAGGTAGGACCCAGTGATCTTGAAGAGGAGCCACCCCATAGGTGGTTCTGATTCACGCTGAAGTTTGAGAACCTCTGACCCAAGAGAGGACACAAGAGGCATCACTAACATCTGCTGGAGGTACTGTCGCCATTGGCTGGGCAAGGAAACTGAGAAACCACAGGGGGAAAGTGGCACAACCAAGGTCACAGATAACATCTGTGGGTCTTTTGTTTCTTCCCATCATTCCACCACACAACAGTGAGCAGCATTCGCATAGGGGCTCTAGGTAGGGGTGAGAATTGGGTTCCAAAGTTCCCCTTCCCCCATCACCACTGTGCTCCACTCTCTAAACCAACGGCCCCTACAAGGCATCCCAATAGTTCTTGAAGCTCTTCTGGGAAGCCCACCCAGCCAGGTGCCCCTCTCTGCTCCCAGCTGCCCTCACAGCTGCCATTGAGATAAGCCCTCTCCTCCTGCCCACTCCAGTCAGTAAGACGTGTTGACGAACTCCAAAGCAGCATCTTGCCTGGGGAAGGTCGAGACCCCAGGGTTAAAGCTCACCTCGAATCTTTGTGCTAGGGCTTTGCACGGACTTTGCACGGCTCTTGCTTCTCCTCCTTGTCCTCCAACCTTCCTCCCCTCCCCTCTGCTCCCACTCCATCTGCTGCTCCTCCTGGCTAGGCTCCCCCTCAGTTGGCACAGCAGGAAAAGAGAACAGGATGGTTTATTTTTATCTTGAGACACGCTTGGGGGAAGGGGGTACCATCTGACCAAGAAGCAGCAGTTTTTGTGGCCGTGGGGAGGTCAGAAGGCAGTGGGAGACCGGGATCTCCCTGGGAAGGAGCTACAGAGGCTGGTTCTGACAGATCTGGGAGGAGCTCAGGATCAAGAAGAGGGAGCTCTGAGCATGGCACCACTAGTCGCTGCTGTGTGACCCTAGGCAAGTCACTTCCCCCTCTCTGGGACTCCGATTCCACCTGTGTAAAAGAGGGAGGGATATGGGCCCTGCCTGCCCCGAAAGGCTGTTTTTGTGAACAGGAATCAAATGGGGAGGACACTTTGCAAACCTGATGCTGAATGTGAACACAGGAAAATCGCCCTGGAGAGGCAGCAGTCTGGGAGCATTCTTATTTATCCTCAGAAAATACCCTCATTCTGTGAGCCTGTCAGCAGGTTAAACAGTTCATGTCACCCAGCACGTCCACCCCTGTTTTTCTTTTTTGCATGTTTGATGATTTTTTTTAATTACATAAGCATTATGTGAATTCACTCTCCTTCTGGGAAAAAAATGAAGCATTATGGGAAAGCCAAATCTCCCTTTAACCAACCCACCCCTGACTCTTTCCCCACCCCAAACATCACCACTGTTCGTGTACCTGTCCAGAACCCTTGCTATACCCACATATATGATGTGTATAATATTCATTCATGTATTCAAAGGCAATATGTCATTCATCAAAGTAAGTACTTTTTTTTTTTTGAGTTGGAGTCTTACTCTGTCGCCCAGACTGGAGTGCAGTGGCCGCTCCCGGCCACCGCAGCCTCGACCTGCTGGGCTCCGGCGATCCTTCCGCCTCAGCCTTCCAAGTAGCCAGAATTACAGGCATGCGCTACCGCGCCCGGCTGATTTTTTGATTTATTGTAGAGATGAGGTCTCGCTGCCCAGGCAGGTCTCAAACCCGCGGGCTCAGGCCATCCACTCACCTCAGCCTCCCAAAGGCACGGGATTACAGGCTGAGCCACTGAGCCCAGCTGTAAGTACTTTTTAAAAGAGATTGCATACCGAATATGGTGGCTCGAGTCTATAATCTCAGCATTCTGAGAGGCCGAGGCAGGAGGACTGCTGGAGCCCAGGAGTTCAAGTCCATCCTGGGCAACATAGCAAGCCTTCATCTCTACAAAAAAAATCAAAATATTAGCCAGGTGTGGTGGCATGTACTTGAAGTTCCAGCTACTTGAGAGTCTGAGGTGGAAGGATCACCTGAGCCCAGGAGGTCAAGGCTGTGGTGAGCTGTGATTATGCTATTGCATGCACTCCAGTCTAGGTGACAGAGTGAGACGCAACTCCCCCCCAAAAAGTTCCATATCCATCATTCTGCGGCATGCTTTTTTTTTTTCCACTTGACAATGTTGTTGAGATCCCGTTACATAAATATATTACAATTTTATTTAGCCACCCCACCTCACCCCTACCCCACCCCCACTGAAAGAAGTTAAGTGGCTTCTGGTCGTTTGATATCAGAAGCAATGCTGCAATGGACATCATGTATATAGTTCCCTGAGCCCAGGGAAACCACCATGATACATCTCTGGGCACCAAACGCCTGGGTTGGAGGGCCTGGCGGCTATTACTGTGCCCCACCACACACACCCACACCAAAGTTTTTCCTCCATCCTTAAAAACAAGTTGGGAGACAGGATGGACTCCCAAACTGGGGTGAGGTTCTCTAAGGCGAACTGTTTCTGCACGATGCTAGGGCTCCTGTCACAAACCACAGGGGTGCAGGCAGAAGGTAGCTGTGCTGTCAGCGCCAGCCCCTGGCTCTCACACTGAGGCAGCAGCCGCCACTCCAGGTACCCTGGCCGGGTGCCCGTTTGCCTGCGCAACCACACTCCTGGGCACGCACAGCCTCACTGTCTCTCCTGCACTGAGATGCGGCTTTCTTTGCCATCTTCCTGGGTGACTGGCTGGCATCCGTGTAAGGTTTCCTGCACTGGAGCAGCAGGGTTGTGGTCAGGAAAATCGTTGGTCTCCTGGGGATCCTGCCATAAAGCCATGGGGTGGAGGGCCTGGAGGGGCAAGGCGTGAGGTTACCTCCAGCAACTGGGCAGCTGAGGCTCTGAGGCCCTCTCTAGGACGCAGATTCCCTCCCCAAGCCCTCTCCCCTTTCCCAGGCAGTGGGCCGGTGCTGATTCCTCAGGCGCCTCCTGCCCCCTGCTGGCCACACCAAGGATGACAAGAAGCTTCCAGAGTAGAAGCCAGTGGGTTCCAGGGGCTGCTCCTGCTCCCACCCATTGGGCCCAGCACCAAGGCCCAGAAACGTGGCCCCTCACGCGTTGAAAGCCAGGTAAGGAGTGAACAGCCAGTGTTCGACTTTGCCCACGGTGCCAGGGCAGCTCTGCGGGAAGGTACAGAGTCTGGTACTGAGGGAGTGGGCAGAAGGGGCATGGGGGTGAGAGCAGGACGGACCCCAGGTCAGTTTCACGGCCTCATAGACAACAACGAGGCAATCTTGCTTTCCAGTTTGCCATAACTCTGTCCAGGTTCCCAGGGGTGACCCACCTTGTTCTTTGGCTTCTTGAGCACCTTTCCTAGAGAGAAAAAGATGGGGAGTGTGAGAGGACACACCAGGAAACAGGCGGCCCCCCTCACCTCCATCTCCCACCTGGGACTCACTGATAGAGACAAACACCAGAAGGACGGCGAGCAGGATCCCCGTGACAATAGGGATCACCACCAGGGCTCTGATCCGATCCCGGGAACCTGGAGAAATCAGGACTTCAGCATGGCCCTCCTGCAGGTGACCCCACCCCCTGCCCTGACCTGCCTGCCAGACTCAAAACCGCTCTGCTGTCGAGGCTCATCTGCACTGGAGGTTTCAAGTGGTGGCCCCTGGGGAAACGTGGACGCAACTGTCTTCGGGGTAACCAGCACATTTTGTTTAATGTTTTGAAATGTTTGCCAACATTTTGAAACTGGGAGATTCCACATTAAAAATCTGGAATCTGGTTCCTCTCACAAGTTGAGAAAATCAGGCTGCAGTGGACAGCCCGCCCACCTGGGAACCATCAGCTAGAACTGGGTGGGGGTCACTGTCTCTGCCTGGTTACAACCACTCTCCAGCACTCCCTACTCTCTGCCCAAAGCCAAAGCCTAGCATCACTTATGTCTGCAGTGCTGCTTTACACAAGAGAGGAGGGGAAAACAAAGTATTTATTGTACCTACTTCTATTTTCTAAGTGGGCAAATGAAAGAAAGACCCAAAGGCAGGGAGGGGATTAGAGTGAGGCAAAGGATGCAGTTGTCTCAGGACAAAACTTAAAGGGACACCAAAAGTCTCAGCACTCAAGATAAATACCATTTTAATGCTATATTTTAAAAATCAGCAGGCAGACACCAAGTCAACAAACTATGGCCCACAGGCTGGTTGCCCATTTTTTAAATACAGTTTTATTGGAACCAGGGCCAGAATTAGAGTGAGGTGAGTAAGACAGGGTCATGAAAATGCAAGGTTGGAGCCTATTCGTTATTTAAAGTTTTGCTATTTTGTTCATCACAGATTTTCTGCGTTAATTTTGATTTTTTACAACATTGCATCAAAATGCATTGATGATTGCATTTTTATAGCACCCCCTTAAATTTTGTGTCCAAGGGCACACCTTGCTCACCTCCTTCTAACCCCAGCCCTACCAAGAGGAGAGCATATTTTGAGAAAAAGCAAAGAGAATGTCTTTTTCTTAGCCCTGACCTTTTTCACTCACTAATATGACCTGCCTAGTCCCTGTAGTTATCTCAGTTTGTATTCTGGGCTGCAGGCCAACCTTCTCATTCCAAAATCATTACCTACTCGGGAGGTGCTATTGTCATCCCATTATACAGACACAGAAATTGAGACTCAGAGAGGGGAACTGACTTGCCCAGGCCCCAAGATAAGTGGCAGAGCTGGGATACCACATCCCCAAACTGCCTCCCCCTCTCATTTCACTGCCCCTCCCCCTTTCCCCATCCAGTGTTTCCGTGTCCCTCAGTCTCCCCTCTCAGTTCCCATCTTCCTAGACTGCCACCAGGGCCCATCGTCCGGGACTCACCACAGAGAGCATCTGTCTTGTTTGTTCCTGCCTGTATCTCCATCAGGTCTTTGGCCTCACAGCTGTGCACAGACACATGTGCACACGCGTGCGTGCACACACATACAGAGAAAGAGATATTGAGTTTCTCCAACCATAAGCTTTCCAGCCCCAGAGGGAGGCAGTCGACAATCAGCAAGTTCAGGTTCACTGAGCACACATTACATGCAACAAACATCTTTTACTGGTTAATACAGGAATGACACAGGCGCTGTTCATACGGAACTCTAAGTGCAGAGAAAATATTTTTGGACATCTTGAAGGAATAATAAATAGGAGACTCTATGAGTGCCCAGCTTTGGGATGTTGGCTACAGTGAAATAGGAAAATGGTTCAGAGGAGACCAAATTCATGTGACTGGAACGGGGAAGGAACGAGGAGTTCAGTTGGAAACAGGGTTTCTCAACCTCCACCCCAGTGACATTTTGACTGGATCAATCTTTGCTGCAAGGGGTGGGGAGGGGGCTGTTCTGTGCATTGTAGGATGTTTAGAGCATCCTGGCTTCTGCCCACTACATGCTGGTAGCATCCCCTTCCCCAACTGTAACAACCAAAATGTGCCCAGACATTGCCAAATATTCCACAGAAGCAAAACCGCCTCTGGTTGAGACTCTCTGGTAGAAGGGTCTTCTGGAAAGACTTCCCTATGGAATAAGATCTGCGTGGGCCCTGAAGGATGGAAAATTTGGAGCAGCAGAGCATTCCAGCTAAGCAGAACAAAGTGATGTGAGGGAAATCAGGCAAGTGGCAGCAGGATGGTGTCGGAAGCCACGGAAAGTGTGTCTTTAGAACCAGATTGCTGATAAATAGGCAGGGAAGTTTTGACTGGACTTAGCTGGTGAATCTGAGCATCCAACCAGATGACTAACTTAACGAGAGAGAGGATTCAGCTGGCCAGAGAGCGTGGAGAAAGAGAGATGGCAGAAGCGTGGCCAACCAGGAGGCATCACAGGAGTCTACCTACAAGATGATAAAGAGCTGGCCCAGGTGGTCCCAGGAGGAGTGAGGAGAAATGGACGTAGAAGGACATTGCAAAGGAAAAACTATCTAAGGTGGGTGAAAGAGAGAGAAGCTTCCAGGAAAGTTCATGCCATAGTCTTACATGAGAAGAGTATCCAAGAGTTTACTACACACTTTTAATGTCTTCATCTGATGCCTTGTGAGGTGAAAGTCACGCTCATTGTCCAGATGAGGACACCGAGGCTCAGAGAGGCAAGGGTCCCACACTTACTGAGCTGAAGTCAGGTTGTAAGCCAGTGCACTGATTCTTCTGCACCACTAGTGCCTCCCATGATCAGTCTACACTTTTCAGTAAAGATTTATTGAGCACCTACTATGCAACAGGCACTGTACCAGGCATAGGGTGTGTATCAGTGGGAGGGAAAAAAAGCCAAGTCTCTATATTTAAGAAATATCCAATCTACTAGGGAAAGGCAGACAGTTAACAAATAAAGTATATATCGTATGCTATTTGATTAAAAAAATAAAAGGAGGGAGCATATGTGTGTGTGTATTTTTGTTTGTTTGTTTGTGTGTATATATGTAGAATCTCTACAAGGAGGTCAGGCATGGTGGCTCACTCCTGTAATCCCAGCACTTTGGGAGGCTGAGGTAGGAGGAACCTTTGAGGCCAGGTGCTTGAGAAGAGCCTGGACAATATAGGGAGACCTCCACCTCTACAAATGCTTTTTAATAATGTAAAAATAAACAAACCAAAAAAAAGAATCTCTGCCGGACCGGGCTCGGTGGCTCAGCCTGTAATCCCAGCACTTTGGGAGGCTGAGGTGAGTGGATTGCCTGAGCCCGCGGGTTCGAGACCTGCCTGGGCAACTTGATGAGACCTCATCTCTACAACAAATAAAAAAAAAAAAACAATTAGCCGGGCATGGTAGCGCGCGCCTGTAGTTCCGGCTACTTGGAAGGCTGAGGCGGAAGGATTGCCGGAGTCCAACAGATCGAGGCTGCGGTGGCCGGGAGCGGCCACTGCACTCCAGTCTGGGCGACAGAGTGAGACTCCAACTCAAAAAAAAAAAAAGAATCTCTGTAAGGATATGTAAGAAACTGTGGCCGGGCTCGGTGGCTCAGCCTGTAACACCGCGCCTTTGGGAGGTTGAGGTGAGTGGATTGCCTAAGCCCGCGGGTTCAAGACCCACCTGGGCAGCGAGACCTCATTTCTACAGTAAATCAAAAAATCAGCCGGGCGTGGTAGCGTGTGCCTGTAATTCCGGCTACTTGGAAGGCTGAGGCGGAAGGATTTTAAAAACTTAAATGCAAAAAGTTAAGGGGGAGTGTGTTTGAAGTATTCTAGACAGATGAGTTTGATGCAAGAGAATGAACAGTGTGTTCAGGAGACTGCAGTAGCACCATGCAAGGCACAGCAAGACAGGTGGAGGGGGTGGAGAGAGATCCAAAAATGCAGCTGGAAGGTCAAGTGTCATACTAAGGAGTCTGGGTTCCATCCTGAAGACAACAGAGAGCCATGAAGCATTTTTTTTTTAAGTGGGAGTCTCACTCTGTCGCCCAGACTGGAGTGCAGTGGCTGCTCCCGACCACCGCAGCCTCGACCTGCGGGGCTCCAGCGATCCTTCCGCCTCAGCCTTCCGAGTAGCCGGAATTATAGGCATGTGCTACCACGCCTGGCTGATTTTCTGATTTATTGTAGAGATGAGGGGAGGAAAGGAGATCCACGGATGAGTGCTCAGAGCCTTGGGAAAGCCTTTCACACAAGGTGAGGGGAACCCACTTTGGACACACGCCGCAGGCTCAGGCAATCCACTCACCTCAGCCTCCCAAAGACGCGGGATTACAGGCTGAGCCACTGAGCCTGGCTTCATGAAGCATTTTGACTAGGGGAGAATGGTGAACCAAAAGGAAACACAGGATGCTCACTTTGCAGAAGCAGCTGGAGGCAGGGAGGTCACTGAGGAGGCGAGGGCATCACCCAGACCACAGTGATAAGACCCAAACTAAAGTGATGACAGTGGAAACTGAACAGACAGACTCCCCAAACACGTAGAAGGCCAGAAGGACAGGACCTGGTGACTGGTTTAGAGGGGAGGAAAGGAGATCCACGGCTGAGTGCTCAGAGCCTTGGGAAAGCCTTTCACACAGGGTGAGGGGAACCCACTTTGGACACACAACCAGAGCTGCCTGAGTCACCAGGTGGAGATGTGCACTCAGCAGCTGGATGAGGCAGTCTGGGACCCAGGAGACAGATCTAGACAGGAGATGCGGTTGGCAGCCATCTGAGGAAGACAAGATGGGCGTGGAAGCCATGGACATGAGTGAGATAGCCCAGGGAAGGCTGGCAAAGGGATCTGAGAGCCCAGAACAAAGCCCTGGAAAACCAGGCAAGGAGCAGGAAAGAGGAGGGAAGCTGAGGGGAGGGAGAAGGAAAACTAAGGAAGTGTCCTGATACCGCCAACGTGGGAGAGTCCCATGAGGCTTGAGAACTCAGCAGTGTCACCACTAACAGACAACAGCCAAGAAAAGCACCGAAATGCGTCCTTCTGCTTGGCCATGAGGTCACTCTGCAGCTGTTTCTCAAGGGCACGAGGGTGTGTGGACATGGGGGAGCAGGGTCAGGACAGGTGACTGGAGAGAAAGGAGGCAGGTCCCATGCCATGCCAGGGGCAGGAAACACAGTGATGAGTCCTTATACCTTGTCCAAGGGCGACACTTTTCAAAAACAGATGACACATTGGAGAAGAAGCCGACTGGGCAGGTCTCACAGATGGTATCAGAAATTCCTGTGGCTGGGAGCGGGTGAGGAGGGGGATGTTAACCATCACAGTGGACCACCCGTCTGGCTCTCAAGAGAGCCAGTACACAGGCAGGACAGAAAGAGCTCCTGTCTTGAGCACTCCTGCCCCAGTGAAGAGCCATCCCCAGGAGGACTCCAAAGACAGATACCCATGGCAGGAGGCAGAAAGACAAAGGTCCCCTTTCCTGCTCACTCCGCCAGGAATGCCCACGCAGGCTGGAGTCGCCAGTCCCTCTGCCTTGGGCTAAAAGGCCCACTGCCCAGCCCCTCACCTTTGGCCCTAACCTCCTCTGCCCTCCCCCCAGAGCAGATTCCCAGATAAGCCACTCACCCATCTGCTTGACCCCAAAGCCAGGGGCACATGAGCGGTGCGGGGCACAGTTCTCACAGGCCTTGCTCGTGCAGTGCCAACCCTCTTCACAGATGCAGATGGTGTCTGTTTCTGAGGTGCCCTCACGCTGGACGTGGAGCTTTAGTTCTGAGCAGAGATGGGCAAGAAGGATGGGAACCCCTTGCTGGGCCATGTTCAGAGCCCTGCCCCTCACACTGCCTGCTTTTTTCCCTCCGACCCTCTTTCAAGTAGAGATAACCATCAAATGATTTAACAACCAGTACAACCCAGACTCCAACCAGTCAGAACAGACCCTGGCTATGTAAAATCAGAATGGCTGCATTGTCAGGAATATCAGCCCGGCTCCCAAGCCTCCCCTTCCCAGCAGCCTACTTACTGGGGTCACAGTATGTGTGCTGGTGGCAGTGTCTCTCTCGGTTCCAGGTGGCTTGGAATTCGTCTTTATCGCAAGGCTGGCATACTGTGTCCGTGGTCTCTGTGCAGTCATTCACTAATTTCTGTCCTGGAAAACATCCGGAAATGAGGCAGCTCTGGCCAATTCAATAAGTCAGATGCTTATCACAAAATGATTGGGCTGGACTTTTGGGTGGGGGGATTCAAAGATGAAAATCTCAGGCCCTTCATAGTAATCAGTGGAGAAGATGGAAGAGACAGGAACCTAATTCCAGGATAAGCAGAGGTTTACCTGGTAGAGACGCAACCGAGAATGTTCTGACAAGTGATGCAGGGACAGGAAATGCGCCATTTCAGATGCAAGTTTACAGTTAAGGCACGGGGTCTGCATCTGCCTGAGAAGTGAGAGGGCTTCCACTATGGGGCTAGAGGGTTGGCCTCTCACCTGGCTGGCACAAGGGACAGCACCGACTGTCTACTGGGTAGTGTTTTTCTCTGCATTCAGTAGGTAGTTCTGGATGAACCTAAAAACAGAATTGTGTAATTTGAAGGGATCTTAATATCTCTGCTGCAGCCTCCTTGGCAGGAAGGTGAAAGTCAGCCAGGATAGAGGCTGCAACTGAAGTGGAAGCTCAAAGCAGAAAAGGGAGCCTGCATATGCACCAGTGGGTTTGTTTGTAACTAAGTTGCCAAGCCAGTTGGTTATAAAGGCCCACAAAGGATGAGTCTGGTTTCGATGGCACTGGAAGCTCACAAGAGTCTCTGAACTGAGATCCTTCTTTGGGCTTGACTCCTGAGTCTTTCCTCTTCCTGAAGACTCAACAGGACATGAGGACTCCGGCACCTTTCCTGGAGTCCTGAGGCCGGCTGGCTTTAGCTGGGCCCGGTGCCTGCTGGGGCTATATTTAGCACTCGGCCTCTTCCTCCTATTCTTCTGCTCCTCTTCCTCCCACCTCCAAGCCTCATCATGTTTTCTCCCTCCAACTCTTTATCATCGGCTCACCTAGCCCCTCCCTCAGAAAATTCTAGGACTGTGGAGGACGCACTGCAGCCCTTTCATTTTATGAATGGGGAAACTAAGCACCAAGAGGCAGGGTCCCCTGCCCAGGGTCCTGCAGTGACAGAATCCAGATGAGAACTCAGCTCTCGATGCTTTCTCCCTCCATCACCTTGTGTTTCCCCAGCACCTGTTTTGCTACATCCAGGTACCACCCGTGCGATTAATTAATTTATCGCCAGGAGAAAAGAACAAGTATCACTTCTCATAAATACAAGGTGACCCTAAAAATAAATTCAAAAGAGTCGGGCTCGGTGGCTTAGCCTGTAATCCCGCGCCTTTGGGAGGCTGAGGTGAGTGGATTGCCTGAGCCTGCAGGTTCAAGACCTGACTGGGCAGCGAGACCTCATCTCTACAATAAATAAAAAAATCAGCCGGGCATGGTAGCGCATGCCTGTAGTTCTGGCTACTCGGAAGGCTGAGGGGGAAAGATCGCTGGAGCCCAGCAGGTCGAGGCTGCGGTGGCCAGGAGCGGCCACTGCACTCCAGTCTGGGCGACAGAGTGAGACCCCAACTCAAAAAAAAAAATTAAATAAATAAATAAATAAATTCAAAAGAAATAAGCCAATGTTACAAAACCCCAGCTAGTTGCTTTACTTGCTGAAGGCCCTCCATCCCAGGCCTACTCTTGATTTTTGTTTTGTTCCTTTGAGAGGCATGAACTATACTCTAACTCCAGAGACTTCCTTGTAAAAAGGAGAAGCATTCTTTTTTTTTTTTTCAGTTGGAGTCTCACTCTGTCGCCCAGACTGGAGTGCAGTGGCCGCTCCCGGCCACCGCAGCCTCGACCTGCTGGGCTCCGGCGATCCTTCCACCTCAGCCTTCCAAGTAGCCGGAATTACAGGCATGCGCTACCACCCTCGGCTGATTTTTTGATTTATTGTAGAGATGAGGTCTTGCTGCCCAGGTGGATCTCGAACCCGCAGGCTCAGGCAATCCACTCACCTCAGCCTCCCAAAGGAAAAGGATTCTTAAAAGAATTGTGGCTCAGCCTGTAATCCCACGCCTTCAGTCTGGGCGACAGAGTGAGACTCCAGTCTGGGCGACAGAGTGAGACTCCAACTCAAAAAAAAAGAATTGTGAAGCGAGTCTGTGTTTTAGCTCTATATCCATGTGCACGCTAAAATTATCCCATACTTTGGAAACAGCCAAGGAAAAGAGCACAAAGAACTATAGGTTCCACCCTTGACTTTGTAACACTTACTAGCGATTTTGCTTCTCTTGGCCTCAGTTTCTTCATCTCTAAAATGGGAGTAATAATACCTGCCCTGCAGGTTGGCTTATGAAGAAGAAAAAAAATGTACTTGTATAGCCTGGCACAGTGTCTGGAACATAGTAGGTGCTTATTAAATGACAGTTTAAATCATCATGCATTTGTATCTACTTGGATACCCACATCCTGGCTAACTGGCTGGCTGTCCAGGATCCTACCTGATTGGTGGCTCTCATTCACCCTCAGTATCTGAGCAGATGACTTACAGAAATGTGTCTTACCCCAAGTGAGGAAGAAAGGAGAAAAGGCTACTGCTCCCGCCAGTTACCACAAAGCACCATCTCGTGAACGTGGAGATCCCTACCACACTCCCAGAGCAATGAAAGTCCTTGGTACCATCTTCAAACACATGGGAAATACAGCTCCTCCTCTGAAAGGTGGTCAATCTCCAGTTCTCATTTCCCTTAGCTCTAATCCTTCTACCACAAAAGAGCTCAGGACCAGGGCTTAGAGGCTCTCACCATAAGAGAGGCAGGCTCAGGAATCGGGCAGTTGTAGATTTGTATCCAGCTCCACCACTGCCTGGCTATGAAACCCTTAGCAAAACAATTCCACTCTCTGAGTCTCAGTTTTCCCGTCTATACAATGGGAGAGTTGGGAAAAATCAGACGGAGAAGACATGTAGTGTTTTACTCACAGCCTGACACTGGAAGCTCTCAACAAATGGTCCCTGCTGTTGTTGTCACAGCCCAGCCTCTGTCTGGAGCCAAAACTGGGGTTGTGAGGGTAAATTCTGCTCTTAAGAAATCCAGACCACCCTTCAGCCCACCTCCACCTCCCCCGCACATGGGCGTTCTTCTGCCTCTCTCCAGCTCCTCCCCTCTCCTGCCTCTTCTCCTCTGAAGAGCCACTGCCTATGGTGAAAATGAAAGCTCTGGGACCAAAGCAGCTTCCCCCCACTCACTCTCTTCCCTTGCTGCCGACCCCGCGCCATGGGTCATTCCCGCCCCAGACCTCATGCTGGAATCTATACCCCCTGAAAGCAGGGGGAGACCAGCGGGGCTGGGATGAGAGGGCCAGGTACTTGGGGGATTCCCGTCCTCCCAGAATGAGGAACTACAAAAATACATTTAAACAAAAAGTGAGTCAAGTGTGGGCTTCTGAAAATCCCGGAGATATGCTTGGTTGGGTCTGAACGCTTCTAGTGACTGGAGAAGCCCCTGCTGGTTTTCTGACCACTTCTTGGGTCTCATCTCCTCCAGGACCCGTCTATTTCATTTTAAATGCAGGAGACAGAGAAGTAGCCTTGGAGATTCCTCCTAGATCACATCACCCAAGGTGAAGGGTAGTGTTAGAAGCTCCTTGCCTTCTCAAAAAAGTACCTGGGCCTCTGCACCTAACCCTTGTATCTGCAAAATGCCCTGGAAGAAGGCAGCTCCAGCTGGCAAGGAGATGATAACCACTCACAGAGGCTGGCATCCGTCCACAATGGTAAAGGGACAGGAAACTGGCCAGACACACCCCTTCCCTTGGCCAATCTCGCTTCCCGCCTTCTGAAGCCACTACCAGCCTCCGTGTGGCCGGCCCCTGAATCTCCCTAAACCCCATACCCATCCACCCCGTCCAGGAACGCTTGTGCCTGCAGTGCCTTCCCTAAATGGCCTCTGAAGGCCAACTGGGACCCCAACCCAGGAGCAGAGAGAGGCAACCCATCTTATTTAGCCAGGAGCTGGGGTACCTTGCGCAGCTGCCATCCACCCTCCTGTCCCCCCAAAATCAGCTAGGACGGTCTCATCTCCCGTCTCGCTTCTCTTTCCCTTCGATTCACCACTCTCAAATCCCGTAGGGTCGGGACAAAAACAACTCACGGCGGTCAGCAGGCAGACCCAGAGGACACAACACAGAGGCAGACGAGCCATGGCGAGGTAACACCCAGGCGGCTGGACCAGTGGGCGCCCGGGCAGGGCTTCCAGTAAACTCCCTGGCCCCTGCCCTCGGCCCGGCCCAGGAAAGAGGCGGGGTCTTCGAGGACCAATCACGGCCCGCCCGTGGGGAGGGCGGAGCCCCCGCAATTCACTGCTCAGGGATTTCCCCAGGACATTCCCAGGAGTCTAATTCCCCCGGGAGTTTAGGGACGCGCTGTGCTGGGTACGGGAGGACGCGTGGTCCCAGAGGGAGCCCGCCCTCCTTGCCCCCCAGGACTCCAAAGGTCAAGCAAAGGCGGGCTAGGAACCAGCCTGTCTCCAGGGGCAGGGGAGGGAAGAGAGCTTCGCCGCCACAGGGACCCTCATAGTTCTCCCTCTATCCCTCTATCCCTCCGCTGCCTCTAGGAATCCTGACAGAATCGAAAGCGTCCCCACCACGGAGAGAAAGGCCTGAGGAAGTCCCCGCCACCCCAGAAAACGGGAAGGCCACAGCTGGGGTGTGGGGAGGCGTTTCAAGGGAAAGGGTTTTCCAACTCAAAGTTTCACTTTCTTTCAAAGGAAATTCCCTCGTGCGGGTGCAGCGTCCCAGCTTCCCCATCCATCTATCCATCCATGCGTCCACGGGTCCCCAGCACGTCCCAGCGTCCTCATCTATCCATCCGTCCACCTGTCCACGCATCCTCACTTCCTCATCCATCCATCCATCCATCCATCCATCCATCCATGTGCCCACACCGTGTCCTAGCTTTCGCATCCATCCATGAGTCCCCACCGCATTCTGTTTCATCCCAATTCCCACCCAGCGCCTGGAGACAGGTAATTATTAAGAGAGGACCAGCCTTTTGTGGGATCACAGGACCCCTTGAGAATGTTAGGACTTTCGGGGCCCTCTCCCGCAGAAACACACACACACACACACACACACATTTTTGTGCCTACATTTCCCCGGTTCCTGGTCCCTTCAAGCCCCTCATTGAACCAGTATCTTTTGCAGCGTGGAATACCTGGGTTCTGGTCCAGGCTCTGCCTCTGATGGGCTTGGTTCCTTTGAGTCTCAAGTCTCCCCCAAGGAAAACTGAGGAGCTTGAACTAGACAGTGGCTGGGGTGATGTCCCTCCAAGCTCTGAATGTCTGGAAGAGGCTCAGAGGCCAGAACACACCAATCAGGGGGGATGGGAGAGGAGGAACCTGCTAGCCCCACTCTCCTGGCTTCTCCCTTTAAGGGCACATTCACAAGCCTTGTGGATCCAACTTGAGGATTCATTCCCTCTTTTCTATCACTTCTGTCACTGTCCTAATTCAGAGACTCATTGTCTTTCATCTGAACTCTTCCAACAGCCTCATTCTGTGAGTACTTGTTGAGCACCTACTATGTGCCAGGCAACTAGCTCTCCATGCTGTTGCAATTCTCTTGATAGACTTCAGATCTGATCAGATCGGGGCATTTCCCTGCTTAGAAACCTGTTTGGGCTCCCCTATGCCCTCTGGGTGATCCAAACTCCCTGCCCTGGCAGAGCATGGTCTTCCCCACTCAGCCCCAACCTCCCTTTCCATGCTCATCTCCTACCACGCCTTCCCAAGCACACTGTTCACCCTCTCCCCATTTCCTAAACACACAACCTTTTTCCTTATGGCTTATCTCACTGTCTCATGCTGCTTTCTTCCTTCCTTTCTCCTTCCTAAAACCAGTTCAAATGCTGTCTCCTCTTAACGCTTCCCTAACTCCCTGAGACAGAGGTGGGTACTCCATCCGGCCCCGCCTCCTCCTCTGTGTTCTCACTTTTAATATGCAGGTTCATCATTCATTCACCTGGCCCCATCTGATTGTAAGGTCTTTGAGGGCGGGTCTGGATCTATCCCAGCCCTGGGCACATAACAAGACACCAACATGCATGTGCCAAGTGAATAAGTAAAAGAGTGGTGGGTTCCACAACCTCTCATTCTAAGCACAGCCTCCATCATGAGAAGCAATTGGGGCAGGGGGTACATATCTGGTAACCTCCACCCATATGTCAAGCTGCACTGGCCCCTTGGACAGAAGGGATGGGGGCCAGATACCAAAAGGCAAGAAACGCTTGAAAGCAGGACCCAGAGGACTTCATTAAAGCCACCCAAACACACCCAGGATGAAGAGAAGATTAAAATATCTTTTCCCTTTTTAACCCACTTTGAAAAAAATAAGCACGGCTTTAATTCCTTTGGGGGGGCGTTACTATAATAACTTTAGCCATTACTTATTCTTTATTTGCTTGATTCCAAAATTGGGCCTTTCACAAAACTGCCTGGGGAAGCAAGTATACAGAATTAAAATATTAATTATATTATATAAAACATATCATAGCAGCAATTAAAGCGGTTTAAATTAATGTGTGAAAGAATAAATGGTAGCCTTCGGGTTGCCCCATGGGGAGAAGACCAGATAAGATAAAGGGAAGATATTTTAGTATATACATACCCCGAGGAGACATGTGCTGGCAGGCACAGGCCCGGGGAAGGCACAGAATCTTGTAGAGCTGAGAAAAGTATGCTGGAGGAGGAATGCGAGAAGATGATTTAGGGAGAGAGTGGCAATATTCAGAGTCCCACCAAAGAGGAAAGCTACGAAGAATTCAGCAACAGGAAAGGGCGAAGGACATTTGAGAGGATGGGGACCCAGGATTTGGGAAACAGAGCGGAAATGGCCTTGGGGGTTGGGGTCAGAGGGTCAGGTCACTGGGGAAACAGCATGCTTGGAGGTCCAGTGTCCCCAGTGCTACCAGGATCTGTCAACTAGAGGATTCTATCTAACATGCAAATCCAATTGTGTTGCTCTCAGGTTTGAAGTGACTCCCCAGGGCCCTCGTTCCTTCAATTCATGGGGCTGTGAGGCCACGGGCTTCCTGGCCTGCATCTCTAACCACCCCTCCTGCCTTTCACCTGATGCTCCAACCACACTCCCCAGAAGTGCTGAGCTGTCACCTCTACCTGGAATCCCTCCTCCCACTCTCCTTTCAACTGGCCAACTCCTTTTCATCCTTCAAGGCTCAACTCAAGCATCCCTCCTCTAGCAAGCCCTCTCCAGCTGCCAACCTGGGATGTGCACAGCTACCTGCCCATGCTCCCAGAACCCTGGGGTTGCTTACCTAAACACCCCTCCAGCCCAACCACACTGTATTTCAAGTACTCTGTTTCCTTGTGGAGCCTGTGTATTGAGGTGATGCAACTCCATGGGGCATAATAATGAAGCTTTCCCCTCCTAATCTCCGCCTTCAGTCATGCTGTGTTGAATCTTCCTTTTCTGTCCCTTAATGACATCTTGGGCAGATTGCATTACTTTTGGATCACTTTCTGTTGTTAAACCTCCATCCTTTAAAGCTTTATTCTCAAACTCAATTTAAATCTCATTTTATCTTCTCTCTTACTCATCCAAGGGTTGACTTGAGCCAGAACTCTGCCTGCTAGGAATAAAAGAACTTGGGGGCGGAGGGATGGCCTGGGGGGGAGACGCACCCTCTCCCTTGTTGAAATACAGGGAGGGAGTGGAGAAGGCTCATATCCCTGCCCGCGTCTGGCCAATGCCATGGCCTACTCTCTGTTGGTTAACACTCTCTCCCTGGCTACTTGAGGTGGCAAGTGTCCATATATGGTTTCTCATGGGCACATGAATAAATTCCTTGGGGGCTTGTCTCCTGCACCAATCTCTGACACGGGGCATTCAGCTCAAACTTGACCTCTCCTACCTCTGCTCACCTCCTAAATCCTGCCACTGGTGGACCCTCTTGCCCAGCAGTCAGCTAGCTTGGGTGATACGCCAGAAAGGTGCTTCAGCCAGGCAAGTGACTGCAGTGTCACTTGATCTGGAAGAACTCACATATCCTGGCCAGCTGCTCCTTTCCTGTCTCTCTTCTCCACTGAACAAGTAGGCACAGCCCACTCCCCACAGTGCACCCCCACCAGGGAATGGCAACCCAGCACCCCATGACCTCAGTCTTCATGAGGGCCTCCACTAGGGAGCCACTCTACCTCTAATTGGGAGGGAAGGATATTGCCTCCACTATAAGCACTAGACTCCTCAATGAAGCAAAAGAACTTCCCCTTCCCCAAGACCGTTATGTGAGCCAGGAAGCAGATATTGGGGTTTTGGCTAGTGGATGTAGGGCCAGTTCTGCCTCCTCAGTAAACCCTGGAGGGAAAATATCTGGCTCCCTAGAATACAGGGTACACAGGGCCTGCTGAGTTTGGCTGTGGGCCAGCTGTATTGCCAGTTCCTAAGTAACAGGGAATCCCCACTCAATAACCTTTGGACCAGGGTCATCCCTCACATCTAACTTGGTTCTGAAGGGAAGAACAATGTCTTCCTCATCTTTGTAACTTAATGCCAGCAATAGAGCCCAGGCACATGCCAAATGCTGTCCAAGTGTTTGTAGGGGGAACGTAGGAGTATACGAGTACAGTACTGCAGTGAGACTGAAGGGGTCCGTCAGTTCTATCTGCTCATTCCCATCATCCTCGGTCATCAACTCTATAAGATGACTAGGCTCTCTACCTGGAATTCCCAGGCCTCACTGTGGACAAAAATCTTTACCTTTAGCTCAGCAGTATTGGGCTGGGATTTATCAAAGGGAACTAAGAAACTCAGAAAAGAACCCAAATAGAAATCTGGAAAACCCAAGAGCCAGCAAGACAGATGGTTGGATTGACAAAGCAGAGAAATGCTTTATCCTGATTTGGTTAAAGCCACTTACTGAAGGCCGATTCTGATCCCCAGATAAGGAGGCCTCTGGTCTTGTTCTCAGACTTCCAGATTCTGATGTCCGTAATCAGAGATGGCTTTGGTTGCAAGGGAGGGGTTCCAAATTCCTTACCACAGCCTCAAGATCCTGTGTGACCCAGCTTCTATTCATCTCTCCCTCCACTGCCCCCTGGCTCACTACCCTCCAGTCATCTGGCAACTTCTGTTCCTACCTCAGGAATTTGATTGTGTCTTCTTCCTGAAATGTCCCTCCTCCCACTCTGCATCTGCTGATTCCTCCTCACCATTCAGGTCTCAGA